AATCCTGCAGCCCCTTGTCTATCATCTGGGATTTTAATTTTAAAGGGCTTACACGACTTCACCCCTCCACTTTGCTGCTTGTAACATTCATTTCTCTTGGGCTGCTTCTACTTCCTGTCTACATCTCTCTTTGGCAGATGTCTGGCAGCTCTGGCATCTCCAATATCTTGGGGTCTCCTCAGAAACTCAGGCTTCACTTTCACAGCTTCATGCAATGGTCTCTAAGGGCCTCCAAAAAGCGACTCCAGCCAGAGCTAGGGAACCATAGCACAGTGGGGAATGTCCCAGAGATCTGAGAGCCGAAAATAAGGCTAGATGCATGCAGGGCAGTGCCCATAGGCAGAGGGGTCTGGTAGGAGTGTGAAGCTGTAAGCTCCAGGAGGTCAGGCCTGCTTCCTGCACGCTGGTCCAGCTCAGGGGAGAACAGCTAAAAACTCTCAACTCCAGAGTTGCTGTCTGGGGGTGCATGTGGTTTCCATGACAACAGCAGGTCCAGAGAGCAGCCAGAAAAGATAAGCTAGATGACACCTAATGACACCTAGAATTTGAGGGTGCTGGCTGGAAAAAAGCCCTGTGGAGAGGTAGGTTAAAAGGTTGAGCTCACTGAGGTGCAGAGACCTAGGACTTGTCCAGGAGGCAGCAGAAACATAGGCCAGGAGCATCTCTACAGAGGGAGCAGGAAGAACAGCCCAGAACCACACACACACTGAAGATGTGTGGAGCCCAGGTGGAGGGCAGGAAGAGCCAAGGATCAGAGAGGAGACTGGAGAAGACATTATAGAATGACTGAAGGAGAGGAGGTGAGGGAGACTGGACACATTTGTTACTCTTTGGCCATGATGTCCTAGACTGCTCACTATATAACCTCTTCACATTTTAAAGCTGAGTTGGACATTTTAACAGACACATTAGTGCTTGGCTTGGTCCCTTGCAAGCTAAAGGGTTATCTCTGGCAGTGGGTGGAGTGGGCTGTCTCCCATGTTCTTTCCATCTTTGTCCCCTCAGCGAACCTGTTATGGCATGGACCCTGGAGGTAGCTGGGCTCTGGCATTCACATGGACTCCAGGATGGGCAAAACTCATATCTATTGCAATAAATATAAAGGAGTATGCAGTATGAAGGAACACATAGAGAATGATGGTCAGTTAATCAGCCAGAAATGCTGTTGATAGGGAGATTTTCATACAAATTCACCCTTAGGTTGAGGTTAAATGATGGAATGGCAAAGAATTTCCTGAAACTTCCGGCCCAACTGGAACACTGACTTGGATGTTCTCAGGATGAAACACAGTTTGGCTGGGGAGAGGAGCTTGAGCCTGGGTGTGTGCGATGGGATTATCTCAGGATCTACTAGTCTGCTCTAAAGGACAAATTGGGAAGACAGGGATGTGGGCAGATTTTCACGGGTCAGCTCTTCCACCGTGAGCAGCCTGAAGCCTGAAGCTGGTGATCAAGAAATATTTTTACAATAACTGCTTTTTGGCATCTATGTTCACTTTTCCAAGGAAATCCACGGTGGAAAATTCCAGATGTAATTAGTTACAAAGTCTTTCCCTCAGTTAAAGAGTTTACTGCAGGCTTCCTTACATGATTTCTCGTAGCTTTACATGAAAATTCAACTCAGGCCCTCAGTCCATTCATTAGCTGGTCCCTGACTGCAGGAACCACCACCTGAAGAACACTGGTGCAGCTGGCTTTCTCTGCTCCCTTTCTTTACACAATGCCCCTTCTGCCTTTTTCTCTTCTTGCTGTATCCAGGAGGGATTGTGTGTGTCGTTTTAATATATTCAATATTTCCTAAATAAACCATGCTTGTATGCAAGGTTAATCACCTCCTTTATTAGGACATAGTACTAATTTGCTCATGAATAATGGTACAGCATAAGAGCACACACCAGGCACCCGACCTGACCTCTCCTGCTCCGTGCCAGCACAACAGGCTCTAAAGTGCAGCGGCTGCAGAAGCTGAGAGAGATAAACAGGGTGGCGGGTGGGGAGGAAGTTCTTACTCAAATCTAAATACAGCCGCTGCTTGCTGATCCAAGAGCTGAGATCACTGGGAGAGATTGCAAGGAAACTTTTCTGGTGCTGATTCTTTTGAGCAAACAGGTCTTGGCCTGCTCCTGTCACTCCAGGGACAGGTAAGGAGAGAAACAGAGGCATGGCCTACGCAAGAAAACAAATGCTGGTTTGGATTTTATCTTCCAAAAGCATCAATATTTCCTACCAAGTGGAAGATTCTTTTAACCACAGTCGTCAACACAGGTTGTAAGACGCCGACTTAGTCAGGTTCCCAACAACTGCAGGGCCAAGGTGGAAAGGAGGCCCCTTTTGGGATTTCAAATGCTCCCAAGATCGCGTTCTCACGTACAGGTAAAGCTAATGTGGGCTAGCTGTGGAAACCTCTGGAGTTTGCCAGCTGCTTCCCACGTGCAGCTAAGTAACCCAACTATGGGAGCTATGCAACACAAGGGCTTATAAGGCAGGTGAGGCTGGGATTGAGAGCCAAGGGGCGCATTGATGGTGTGGAGAGGGTGCTGGGGCACCATGGGGCTTCAGGCCAGCATAAATCTCCAGCCATCACAAAAGGCTTTTCTGTAAGGGGGAAAGGAATGAGGTTACCTCACAAGGCTGAATGGCAATTTAACAAGTTGATTTACTTAAAGTGCTTGGAATAGGGCCCAGCACATAAGACTCTGCTTAATGATAATTGTCTATTAAAATCCATAGAGAAGGTTACTGCAAGACAACATAGGGACGGCTCTTCAGAGGGCTTCTCTTTTTTTCTGGGAGCTTAGATTTCCTCTACTGAGGCTGCTGAGGAAAGCAACAAAGGATGTAGAATTGCTGCATTTTTTACCTAATGTAGTAACTCCAGGCAAAGGCAGGACCTGGGTGCTGATGATTTTATACTTACCCAGACTATCACATGCAGTGCCCCGTGTGCTTAGCTTATTACTCCAACCTCCCCTCCTGCCCAAGGAACAGTCTCAGAGTGGGATCAGTGGGAAAACACGAAGGCTGAGGCTTCTGGAGAGAGCGTTGTCTCCTTCAAAGCCAATGGTGGCATACAGTTAAGTAAGCACTTGCTTTTGTTCTCATTCACCTACTTAAGACCACTGAGTGGTAGTTGCTATACATAGTTAACTTGCTTGATCCCTGGCACTGCAAAATACACAAGAGCCCATTAAAACTGCAACCACATTCCTATAAAACAGGTGACTTGAAGCCTCTTGCATGTGGCTGCTGGGGACTCATCTCCCCAAGCCAATCTAAATGGATCCCACATGTTCCTGATCATGCTACTCTACTCTCTTCTGTCGCTCCCCCCTTCCCTTCTCTGCATTAGAAATGGAGCCCAACCAGCTCTCTATCACTGAGCTCCAGCCCTTGGCTCTTATATCTCTACTAATCTAGGAAATTAAATTTACTCTGACTGGGGCTGGAGAGATGGCTCAGCTGTTAAGAACACTTATTACTCCTGCAGAGAACCCCTTTTGGGTTCCCAGCAGCTCACGACCATGCCCATCCATAACTCCAGTTCTAGGGGATCCAATGCCCTCTTCCGACTTCCTTGAGCAACAGGCACGCATATAGTGTACATACACACGCGCAGGCAAAACACTCATATGCACAAACATAAATAAACCAGTAAACAAATCTTTAAACTCTATATTAACAAAAGGCAAAAGAAGCCAGCCTACATGCCCTGGTAAGATATGTGCCCTTTAGCTTTCATACAGCTGTTCTCTGTTCTGACTCTCTTATTTTTACAAACAAGATAGGGCAAGCAAAGAAGCTGTGAAGAAAAGCTACTTTAAAAACCTTTGAGGCTTTATTGGCTTGGGATTCTAAACTCCAGGGAACCTGATGAAATTGGAGAGATTACTTCAGACTCCAAGTCCGCTAGGATCCTCTCTGGGGTGGTGGGCTGTCTTTTGAAGCCACTGACACTGTTCAGCGTTCTGAGAGACTAGGTCTACCCCACAGATTTTCTAATTCAAGACTTTCTGGACCAAGTTTCCCACAAAATATGTGACCCCAGGAATTAAAATCAAGAGCAAAACACCACAGTGTGAGCATACGTGATTCCCACTACTCCCTCAAAAGTTCTATGAAAAGTCAGGCCGCTTGCACAAGAAGGATGGGAGGCAGGGTCTGAGGTGCGAGCAGGAAAACCAGAAACCGAAAATACAAGGGGAGTTCAAAAGAAGAAATGAAGGGAGCGGGCAAAGGAGCGGGCAAAGCGGCAGAGAGGGCACGGGGTCAGGCAGGCAGCACCGCACTCGGCAGGGTCGGCAGGCTGGCTGCTGCACTTGGAAGGCATGTGGAAGTGTGGCAAGGGGAGGGAGTGTGGCCAAGGGCACCTGGCCTGGGCAGAGCTAGACCATGTCTTGGGCTACTCGTAAATACCTCTCCTTGTAAGAGCTCCCCTAACACAGGCCTAATGCAGAGCCTGCCTTTAAGAGAATGTCACGGAGCCTTAGCTTCTCCATCCACTTTCTGCGGGCCTCATGATCATTATACACAAACAAGGCCAGCACAGGGGACTCTTTCAAGGAATATGAGACAGAAATGAGTCTGACTCTATACTCAGGAACCCCTGGAGACCTATGAAAGCTAGCGACTCACTGTCCCCAGTTGATGCTGTCATTGAGGAGGGTTTGGGATCCCTGGTGGCCAGCACTCAGTAGGACAGAGAAACAGCCGCCCACCAGCACTGAAGCACAGCACAGCACAGCAAAACCCTCACTTGGGAATGCAATCATGTAATTCCCACTTGGCAGAAATGTATGGCTGGCTGCAGAACAAAAGGAACCATCTGTATCCAAGCCACTGCCTCTTAATCCCTTAATTAGACTAAGTCTTTTAGAAGGAAGCAGCAGTTACTGGAGGAAACCAGAGTGCACGCGTGCGCGCACACAGAAAGACACACCCTGTATATGTATGGATATGAATAAATACTCATGTGAAGGACTCAGTGTTTAAAAAAGAATCTATTTGTTTATTGAAATTTATTTTATTTATTGAAAGCCATGATCTGGATCATTTAAATCAGTTCTCTCAGGAAGAGGACTTGTGGGAAATGTGGTGATCAGACAACAGCCAGAGCCAGCAACCTGTGGGCACGTTAAAAGATGCTGAGCTGCCTGGGGTTCACTGTGCTCTGACTTCAGGCCAGAGCATTTGCCCTGCAGTGTGCTGACAGCTGAGCGGTCGGAGGCCCTGGCTAGCGAGAGGTCATCTGGAAGCTTTCTTCTTCTTTTTCACAGGTGCTTTGTCTAGTGTGGCGTCTACTGCTACCTCTCCTGGCCTTTGCGGCTTTTTCTTTGTTTTCCTCTTCTTGGGCTTTGGGGCATCATCATGGGTACAAACACAATCTTCTGCAGCTTCGACAGAGGCACTGGAGCACTCGTCCTCACTGGGGCCTGCAGGTTGCAGCTCAGCTCCATCTCTCTTTTTGGCCACTGGATCCCTCTCTGTTTCCGCACACTTTTTCTTTTTATGCCGCTTGGCCCTGTGTTGGGGAGAGTTCTCTATATCTGTGCCTACTGCCTCTTTGATTTTTTTCTTCTCCCTTTTCCATTCAACAGGGGTCTCTGAAAGGTCAGGCCCTGGAGCTGAGGCCTGTGGCTTACTCTTTAATTGGGCCATCCTTTTGGCAAAATACTCCTGGATGGTGAAGGCACTGGTTGTGGTCGTGGTCATGGAGGTATCTATCTCATCCACAGTAGAGTTGCTGCAGCCATCCTGGGGAAAAAGAGAGAAAGGTGATTGGGCATCACTCATTCATCCCACAAAGCATCCATGAGGATCTACTCACGCTGGACCTGAGTTGTAGAGCCCAGAGCAAGAGGGTGACACTGACAGAGAACCATGTAGGGAGAAGGTCAGACAGACCTCATCTGGCAAGTGGCCTCCCTGACTTCCCAGAAAACATTCCTGTAATGGAAATTTTGGTTTCTTTGTATGTTATGTAAAATGCTTTTGTTTTAATCCCAAGTGTGGGATTTTAGTTGGGCTATAGTTTGTCCAGACCCATTAATTGTCATGTTCGGGGTGTGATCTTTGCCAGCTGGTAAAGGCCTTTCACGTGCAACACTAGAGGGGCGTGGTCTATGACTCTGAGAGTATAAATATGAGGCCTAGAAAGAGATAGGGAGGTTTGGAGGCGTTCAGTGTAGTTTGGTATTGGTGTGTGGTGTGTAGCGTGTAGTAGTTAGGAGAGACCCAAGAGACCAGAGACGAGAGATGGAGCAGACAGACAGAGAGAAACACTTCAGGGCGCAGCATTGTGGAGGAGTCTTTTCTGCCTGCAGTTGACAGAGACTGGTATAGAGCCCTACCAGAACCCCTTGACACTAAACCATCCAGGAGAAGTAAAGGGGTCTGGGCGCCCTATCCCCACTAACCTTTTCTCTCTCCTACTTAAGTTTGGGGGGTTGGTGGAAGGGAGGTAGAGGCCTAAATACCCCAAATGAAGCTGAGTTTTAAACAAGAGCACCACCCATGGCTTTCCGGTACACATTCCCTTAGAGGCAACACTGTAAACGAGGGTTATGCCCAGGGTCTTCTGCAGACAGCGGGGACATGCACACCGCAGGGCTTTGTGATGCTGCAGGTCCTCCTCGGACACTGTATGTGGCTGGCCATGCTCTGCTGATGCAGCTCTCTTAGTTACAAAGTGGCACGTATGAGACTCTGGATTTTCTTGAAACAGTAGCCTTCAAAAACCTCAGTGGAAGTAAAATTACTTCCCTGAAATTCCATCAGAATCAACATTCTATTGAATCACAACCTAGGCCTTGAGTGGCCACTACGGCTTAATAGTTCTCATCAAAGGGCATCGACTCCAGGACATATCAAAGCAACACTGGCTGCATGTTTTCCAGCCCTTGGATCAAAAGCAAAATCATGCAGTCAATTTTGAAATTTAAAAAATAAAATGCAGAATGGTGAGGTAAGTGGGGAAGAAGTTTATATACTGTCAAGGGTAGCTGGGAAAACAGCTCAGCTGCTATGTGCTTACTGCACAAGCATGAGGACCCCAGCGCAGTCCCTAGAAGCAATGTAAAGAGCCAGGCCCAGTCCAACGGAGAGGACATGTAATTCCAGATGGGAAGGTCAAAACAGGCAGATCACTGCATCAGTGAACTCCAGGTCAATGAGAGATCCTGCTTCAAAAAGTATTGTACAGAGCTACTGAGGAAGACACTCCCTACAGACCAGCAGTACTCAACCTCCCTAATGTAGCAACCCTTTGATACAGTTCCTCATGTTGTGGTGACCCCAACCATAAAATTACTTTCATTGCTACTTTATCATTTTGCTACTCTTAGGAACTATAATGAAACTATCTGTGCTTTCTGATGGTCGTAGGCATCCCCTGTGAAAGGTAATTAGACCTCCAAAGGGACTGTGACCCACAGGTAGAGGACTACTGCCATAGACTCATACTGAAGGATACCAGAGCAAATTTTACTGGTATCTCATCAGGTCATTCTGAAAGAAATAGAAATTAGCTGCCTCAGGACTCCAAAACCAGGTCACTTAGTCTTTTTGTTCCTCAAATGTTGAGTGAGGACTGGCATCCTGCATGACAGAATGAAACACCTTCTTCAGGCTCTCAGTACTTGCCAGTGCCAGGCTGGTGGACAAGAAAGATCTTGCCTCCCATGTGAGGGCACACACCCATAGCCATGCATGGACACGGGCACTGGGAAGCTGGCCCACTAAAGTAACAGAGGTCTCATTGACAGCTGTCTGCCGGGTGTGAGCCACTCTTCTTTGAGCCTGTGTGAGACTGAGACTCGTGTTCAGGTTGTATAGCCTATGGCTCCTTGTTCCTTACTTATTACCTCCAGAAGTCCCATTTTCAATAGTTAAGAGCAGGAATTGGCTGCTGGTATTAATCACCCTTAGTTATTAGGAAACACAGAGCACTTCTGAGTCACCTACTCCATCTGCTGGGTCTCTAATTCCCAGGAAGCATGGTCTCAAGCAATTCCTACGGTGGGGCGGAATTGAGGACTCAGGCTCACCACTCTGCTCAGCACGGCAGAAGACAGGACTGGGTGCCAGCACTCACCCTCCTCAGCATGCAGAGTGGGTTCAGCGCCTGTGGGAAAGCCAGCAGAAGAGCCCCTTCCCTCACCACTGGAAATCTGTTAGTAAAGCTTTCATTGTTAACAGGCTGGCAATCTGATTCCTGAGAATCAGAACTTCCATTCTACACACCGGCACCTGGAAACCAGTTTCACTACAGAATATAACCCTGGTTCTGTAAAACATAGAACCATATATACCTTTATAAGAAAATGAATGTTTTCAAATCTGTTCTCATTTCACAGCAAACAGTTAACTTTTGAAAAAACATTTAGAAACAATTTGTGTCTTTACATTTCCTTTGAGTACATGATACAACCTCAAAGAAAATCCATCATCCTTCAATGGGGCTTCTCTGCCTTGCAAGCGCTGAGGATGTCCTAGTCTCACAGTAGTGTTTTAGAGACTAGTAAAGTAACCTGACGCCTCCGGGTTCTGTATAAAATACAATGGGGGGAATGATTTTTCCAAACATTTGATTCCAGCTTGAGGGTTCAGGAAATCGTTCTTTAAAAGACCTGTTGGGTCCCTATAGGCAGGTAAAGGTGAATTCCAAGGTCCGTCTATGCAGAGCGCTGGGGTCTGCCGAAGGCACTATCAGAACCAGGGAGTTCACAGCAAACTCGTTCTCGCCACCAGATCAAGCAACAGGAAAGGCCATTTAGTGCATCCATAGAACAAAACAAACTGGCCCACCACCTCGGAGATGCGCTCCTCATGAAGTACTGTCCTCAGAGGACTGCAGGAGCCAGATGCCATTTACTACTGAGAAGGCAAGAATGCCCTGAAGACAATGGTACTATGCAGGCACTCACAAATATCTTTTTAAGTTGGTGGAAAACAGTCCCAAGGCTTTGCCTTCTGTGAGGAGGGAAGAGCTGGGGCCACAGAATCTTCTAGTTACTTCTGAGGTTTCCTTTGAGGAATCACAGCTTGGAAATCTGTACCAATGCTTTGAAGGTTTGTTCTTGAAGGGCACGTGGTGGAGACCCAATGTGGCTTCTGGAACTAGCGATGAGCGCTCTGACTGGAGTGGGAGAGTCCATGGTCCCACTAACACCCTGAGTTTTACCAGCTAATGCAAATGCAGGAAGACATACAGGCTTTCCTGCAGGGCCACAGGTCTCCCTCATGAGGCTGTGGCTGTGCTTCTGGCAGGACCATGTCACATGTGAGCACACGAGCAGCAGTTAAATGGGAACTTTCTAAAGAAAGGGCTCAGGGAGAGGGGATGGCAAAGAATTAACATTGTCTCTACATTACCCCACCTTCTGTTTCGCCCACTCTAAGAAGAAATGCTTGCAGCGGTCAGAGCAGAAGCCTGACGCTTTCTGTGTTTCTGAAGCGGCTCTTGCTTTTGAGACACTACGTGAAGCAGGTTCCTGGGTAACCCAGCTACTCAGAAAGCCTCTGGTCTTCTCCCTTCGGTTACAGGTGCTGAGTATACAGTGTGTTTAGAAACCCTAAAGACAGGTTTCCCCAAGGATAACTAGAGTTTCACTTCTACCTAACCAATAATGTGCTGTGGGTCAGAGCCAACAACTCAGGGGCATAGCTCCCCATGTTACTGAGTTGAGAATTTAAGGACAAAAGAGCTCTGTGGGATTGTTACAGAGTCACATGAGGAAACTAATCAAAGTGCCCACACCCAGCTGGACTGAAGAGGGCAGCCACCATCAGTGTGCCAGGCACTTGGCATGTGGCTCCATGAGTGGCTCGTGGAGTGACAAGAATAAACTCTCTCTGTTACAGGGCCCCAAGGTGAGACTTGGGGTACAGGCACCTCATCTATAACTATGGAAGGAATGGGATCTGATGCCATGCTATGGGGTGCAGTGCCCTTGTTCTCTAATGTGGCACCCTGGCTTCTAACCTGCATTATAGACTCACATGCTGTGCCACCTTGTTTCTTCAGAAGATCCCAACACTAAAGTATATCTACTGTTGTACAACCTATAGATGTTGGGGGGGGGGTTGGTCTGGTGCTTATATTTTGATGCTACTTACTGGCCCTCAAGATATGGTTACTGCCTGGTTACACCTATTCTTGTGTATACCTGATTGGCTAATTAAATGGCCTATACCTGGGCAGGGCAGAATGGGGTAGGTGTGGCTAAGGTTCCTAGGATTTTGAGAACAGGAGAATCATGGAAGACATACAGACATGAAGAGAGGAAGGAGGACACCACAATGGGTAAGAGAGGAAGGAGGACACCACAATGGGTTAGTGTGGAGAAAGAACCACATGGGCTGGGAGGAAGGACTCCAGTGATGGCGTGGAAAGGCCCAGATGAAGAATAAAAGTAAGTATTTATAAGCTAATGGATGGAAGATAGCCCAGATGAGGATGGTTAAGGAGGATGGCATTGGATGGGGGCTGGGAAGTAGATGGTGAGGTTATTGAGATAGCATAGATGGAATTTTCTGCCCAGCCCAAAGTGTTTTAAGGCAATTATAAAATCTAACAGGTGTCTGTTTAATTGTGAAAGCAGGTTAAATAATACCACCACAATAATTATAAGGCTAATAATAAGCATTATATAGCACAACACCCATTTTATTTACTACATACAGACAAGGTCCAAACTCAGTTCTGAGGGCAGATTAACTGCGGGAGCAGCTTAACGTAGAAAAACAAACAAAAC